TCATTCTGGTAAAATATAGACAATGTAGCACCAGGGTTCCATAGTGTAAAAACAAACAAACAATAAAAACGGATGGAGTGAAATATTGTATCAGCGAGGGAACAGAGAATTGATGGGAAAGATTAGGTACAAGTTATGAGAGATGCAACACGTGTCTTTGCATCTTTGTAAGAGTCGAGAACCGCGCGGAATGCAGATCGTACAGTGACGTCATCTACCAGTTTCGGAATTGGCGGCATAAAGAGCTTTAGTAGAAAACGGATTGTAAATATTCCGGCGGGTAATTTGAAAGTAACAATTTAAGATGAACCAATCAGGATAGTGGTTGTTGTCTTCGATTTAGCCAATAGGAGCCCTTTTGTTTCGTAACATGAAAATTACTTTCTTGCCAGCAACATTAAAACTTATATGTTTTTGTAAAGTGTAACTAGGTCGAAGTTACAAGCTCTTTAGCCTTCAGATTTGTTTCTAAACAGATATGTAAGCGAGGGAAGAAATCATTACATAATGCGCCGTCACATGACTGACTCCTCCAATAGCACACTGAGAAGGGATCAGGTCTCATTTGCATAGCCCGGCTATATAAGCAGCACACGAGGGCGGCTCCAGCACACATTTCCTGCACAGATCGGAGAGAATCGGAGATCATGCCTGAACCAGCCAAGTCTGCCCCGGCGGCCAAGAAGGGCTCCAAGAAAGCCGTAGCCAAGACTCAGAAGAAGGACGGCAAGAAGCGGAGGAAGACCAGGAAGGAGAGTTATGCCATCTACGTGTACAAGGTGCTCAAGCAGGTCCACCCCGACACCGGCATCTCCTCCAAGGCCATGGGCATCATGAACTCCTTCGTCAATGACATCTTCGAGCGCATCGCCAACGAGGCTTCCCGCCTGGCTCATTACAACAAGCGCTCCACCATCACCTCCCGGGAGATCCAGACCGCCATCCGACTCCTCCTGCCCGGAGAGCTGGCCAAGCACGCCGTCTCCGAGGGCACCAAGGCCGTCACCAAGTACACCAGCGCCAAGTAAACATCACTCTGACCTAAAACAAGACCCAAAGGCTCTTCTAAGAGCCACCCAAATACATCAGACCAGAGCTGTGATATAACTTTAATATGCAAGAGTATTTCTGGTTACGCAGTTTATTGGAACCACTGCCAGTCAGATGAAAGTAATTAACTCTAATAGCTTTGCAACCCCTGAAAAAAAATGTTCACCAAATGCTCAGTGGAAGTTGATTGTATCCAGATGTTCGATTATATCTAGAATTACTTAACGTTCCAGACATTCACACTATAATCCTCCAACATTTATTATATTCGTGTAAACTGATTTCTGAAAGGAAACAATCCGATGACATTGTAGATCTTCCGGATCCTCGTACAGAGCTGATCATGTGACCACCAGGTGGCAGTGTTGTTCCTCCATAGAGGA